TGCTTGGGTGCTCAAATGTAGCTCTCACAGGCGCCGGAACTGCGCGCTACATCGCGTAGTTCAGGTGGCTATGAGCTCGTATGCTTGGGTGCTCAAATGTAGCTCTCACAGCCATTGGAACTACGCGCTACAACACATAGTTACAATCGTAGCATGTAGATCAATACGGCGCATCAGCCATATCGATCGTAAATCGCGATTTATGGAGAAGCATAATTGGCGACCGGTGTCCAGTCTAGTCTGGAAAAGTCCTATTTTTGTCTGAAATATCGCGGCTCTAATATCATATAATTTCAGTAGGTATGAAATCTCACGGCTCGAATGTCATAAATTTTTGTTTGATTAAAAAATCGCGGTTTGCACTTCGCAAACATGTCATTTCATAAAATTTTCAACTTCCGCAATCCGCATTGCTTTACCATTTCCGCCAAAAATATCTTGCAGAAAAAACATAAACATCGTAATGTAAACAAATAAACAAAACGTTTGTTGAAGATCGCACATAGTTGCGGTCATGTCAAAGCGGTCAGACTGTATATTAACACGTGCTGAACTTACAGTAAAGACAAATTTTATTGTTGCCGTTTGACTGTTTAAGGGTAAAATTAGAGATTTGGGGTAACACGTGCATAAACTTTGTAAATAAATTCGCATTCGCACCTCGTAAATGGCTTTTCATGGCCGAGATATGGAATTCACGGCTCGGTGAAATAGAATCACGGCTCGTAGAAGTAACTAGTAAGGGTCCTAAGGCCCAGTAACAGTAAGGGGACATTTTGACAACTTTTTATTGGTGTACCTACTAGGCTACTAGTGACTTTAATGTTTAATTAATTAATTTAATTTTAAAATAATTTCTCATTTGTATCACTAAACTTTTCATATCTATATTCAGTATGAGACTCATAATCACTCATTTTTCACTTTTCACTCACTTTTCTGTATGACTCATAATCACTCATTTCAGAAATTTTGTTATTCAAAAATCAGAACTGAGGTAAAGTAAACGCGGTATATTCCGACAAAAAAATCACCGTATGCGCAACTCGAGTTCTGTTTGCTTTATGTCACTCTCAAAACACTGCGCTTCGCGCCAGCAACGATGAAACGTCACAAACTGTTACCATATTCATTTAAAAGCTTTCAGAATGCAAACCTGCAAAATTCATATATTCCGGCGCTGAGTGTGACTAAATTTGGCATTTTGTGAGACTAATTTTGGCCACGCTTCAAACTACTAATTCGTAATTCCAACCCTCATGTGTTCAAATTCCGATCTCTGTGTGAGCTGTATTGGAATAGGACACAGCTCTGAATTAGAACAGTAATGAATATTGAACACTACTTAATTAGGCTTTTAATTGAGAGCTATTAAGTTTTTAATTAGGAAAATTTTAAGTTTTGCGAGCTGTGTGTATCTAATTCCAAGCTGTGTCAGAATTAGTTTTTATGCGTCTAAAACCGTCTCTTAACTTAATCATCTATTAATTTATTTACCACTTGAAATTAGCAATTACAAGTATACTTAAAAGATTTCTAATATATTCACAGACTTATTTAAAAGTCTCAAACCACAATATTCTTTCTACACAAACAGTTTATCACTGTTTGGTAGAGCAAGGTCAACTATCAACTTTGACACGTTTTTTGATGTTCTCACTGGGTGACTTGCACTGTCTCTCTTTGAATCTCAACATTTTCCTGCCAGATGGCCCAGACCTAGTGTTTTGGCAATAGTATGGCACGCAATAGTATGACCTCACTATTTCAACCATCAATGAATGCGTGGAACTAAGACAAAGCTTAATATAAAGGAAAAAAGTTGAGAAGTGTCGGAATTACCCACGATGTCGGAATATACCGCGTTTACCCTGTTTGGAATTATTGCCTTGATTCATACCACTCTCACTCTCCAAATTATTGAAAAAGTTTTTGTTATATCTATAAAGATTTGTTGAAAAATCTCATTTCATTTTTCAGTGCTGCAGTAAAAAAAAACTGGAATCATCATGCCTTCATCTGAGATTAGTTTGCTGCTGGGTGAGTTCCTTACTAAAACTTATTCTTATCAATCTAAACTTTGTTTTAATAGTTGATATATTTTTACATTGCATCCAAATTGTATGAAATAAATTATTCATTTAGTTCATCTGACAGCTTTTCCCAAGGATTTCTGTTTAATTCAAAGTCTGTCACCAGGAGCATCCCTATTTTTTTCCTAATATTTAATGAAATGAATACTTAATTTGTATGAATGGAATATGGTCCAAGATCATCAGAGATACATATACAGAACTCTAACTATTTATTTTTTGAAACTAGCTAATTTGGTACAATGTACTCATATTACCATTAGATATACATACTTTCAGGAGACCATTTTTCCTACTTACTAGTGAAATTTTGTAGCTCCAAAGGGTAAAATTTTAATTACTTTTGGAATTTCACTGCCAAATTGTGCACTTTTCTTAATAATTAGGTAGGAAGTATATTATTCATCTAGCAGGAATCTCCCAGTTCTATAAATGACAGGAACTCTCTGGTCAGTTGACGCTCAAAAAGATGAGCTATTCCATGCAAGAATATTTTCATGGGGCTTAGGCTAACAGCCAAACACTCTGTGAATTTTTCCTCTTTTTGAGATTTAATGATTTGCAATTTTCTTCATAAAATTGAGGGATTTGTTTATAAAACCTATATAAACACTTGTTTATATAGGTTTTAACAATTTTTTGGTTTAAATTCAAATTTGTTTAAATTTAAATATTTGCAGAGAAGGCTACCAATTCTCTTCTGCTGGAGGTTGACATGCTGTCTACGATGCAGATCGTAGATGCTATTCGTCAGAATGATGTCAGGTCAGGCTTAAGTGCTGTGTAAGTAATTGCCTTTTTCCTCAACTGTTCTTTGAGTTGCCCTACTGTTCAGTAGTTGTTGTTTATAATGTATCTGGTGAAAACAATTTATTGTAGAAGTTCCTTGATGATATTTTAACCTATTTTGTGGGGGCCTATATCTATAAAATTCAGAACTTTAAACCTATGCATTGAACATCTTTTCATCTATGAGACATTGTCATGAAAGTGGCATTAGTTCTTTTAAATTGTTTGATGCAGATTTAACTTTCTCATTTGCTTGCTTCTTAATGTATGTTTGCAGTAATATTTCTAATTGTGTCCTTCAAACTGCAGTGCCAAGCAGGCAGTGCAGTGCATCTACGCCAGGCTGAAAGACAAGAATCCCAACGTGGTGCTTATGACGCTGCAGGTCAGTTTTTATTGTCCAGTCATCAGGTTATGTTGCTCTATGTGGTGCTTATGACGCTGCAGGTCAGTTTTTATTGTCCAGTCATCAGGTTATGCTGCCCTATGTGGTGCTTATGACGCTGCAGGTCAGTTTTTATTGCCCAGTCATCAGGTTATCTTGCCCAATGTCAAGACCAATTTAAAAAACTCTTCATTTGGCATGAAGGAGGCTCTACATTTTTTTTAAAGCATCAAATCAAATTTTAAATAATTTTTATGTTTTTAAATATATTTTTTGCCATATGTTTAATGTTGTCAATGATTTTAATCAATATTCATAATCTTGTAGCCTACCATTTAATCAAGATAGAAGATAAAATCATGTATGCAACTTGATGATCACTTGCACTTGTATATAAGTTCATCCTGTAAGAGTGGGCAGCAGTATTAAACTAGTGCATTCATTCATTACTTGTATTGAAAAATTCAAATATTGAGTTAATTGAATAACCTCATATGTGATCTCATTTATACATGCACATTTAAAAGTCATTGGTGTAGTTTGGCAGGAGTTGTTCTTTAATGCAGGTTTCATTGAAGACCAAAGAGTCTTATTTATTTCTTATTGACAATTTTCTTATTGTTTTTCTCTATTTGGTGAATTAGGCTTTTGATAGGAATTGAAAACTCAAATATCAGGTTTCCAAGGGACATTTTATTATAATTTAAAAATAATTTAATTGTCAATAATACTCTCTGGTCTTCAATAAAACCTTCATTTAATAGTCAATATATTTATTTGTATTAACACTTCAGGTTCTGGAAGCAGTAGTGAAGAACTGTGGTGAAGCAATCCACGTGGAAGTGTGCAGCCGCCCGTACTGTGAAGCGATGGAGGAGCTCATCCGCTCCAACACCAACGATGAGGTGCGCAGCGCAGCCTGCTTCCTGCTCGGCAGCTGGTGCAGCGCCTTCAAAGGCCAGCCTAAACTGCAGGCTGTGCAGGTCAGGGCTAGTGATGGCTCTTTATTTTGCATTATGTTTTCAAGATTGCAAAACACTTTTCTGTTTTATTTTTATACATTTCGTGTAATATATTAAAGCGTAAAGTGTTTTCAAGTATTGCCTACAGGACGTCAGTATAGGCTGGACACAGAAGACGGTGCTTATATCATTATTTGCAGGACCTGGCGAACATCCTGCAGGTCAAAGGATTCAACATCACGATGACTTATTGTTGTTGCAGGACCTGGCGAACATCCTGCAGGTCAAAGGCTTCAACATCACGATGACTTATTGTTGTTGCAGGACCTGGCGAACATCCTGCAGGTCAAAGGCTTCAACATCACGATGACTTATTGTTGTTGCAGGACCTGGCGAACATCCTGCAGGTCAAGGGCTTCAACATCACGATGAACAACGAGGCGGCTGCTCTGTACTCCTCCGACGCCGCCCCGAACTGGGTTGAGGCTGACTGCTGCTACCGCTGCCGCAGCACCTTCACACTTATTAAGCGCAAGGTATTTCTACACATTATTTATTTTTATTTGGTTAACCATCGTCTCTTGAACAATAAATCGTGTCTTGAATGGTTTTCACACTTATTAAACGCAAGGTATTTCTACTAATTATTTATTTTTATTTAATTAACCACCGTCTCTTGAACAATAAATCGTGTCTTGAATGGTGAATTCAAGATAATAGAAGTTGTTAATTAATGAGTCTCATCTTAACAACTAATAATGAGCCTCATGGTTGTTATTAATGAGCCTCATATTAACAACTAATAATGAGCCTCATGTTTGTTATTAATGATCTTCATGTTCTCAGCACCACTGCCGCGCGTGTGGCCAGATCTTCTGCCACGACTGCAGCAGCAAGTCCTCCATTATCCCCAAGTTCGGCATCGAGAAGGAGGTGCGAGTCTGCGTCAGCTGCTACCACGACATCAACACGTCAGTGACCGTCACTTGTTTACTGGTGCATGTCACTTGTTTATTAGGGCACCTCACTTGCTTGCTAATGCACGTGACTCCCTCTCTTATATGTTGCCAGCGCACGTCACTTGTTAGTGCACGTCTCTTGTTTGCTAGTGCACGTCACTCCTTTGCTTGTGCACGTCACTTGTTTGCCAGTATATGTGACTCCCTGTCATATGTTGCCAGTGCACGTCACTCCCTGTCTTATATGTTGCCAGTACACGTCACTCCCTCTCTTATATGTTGCCAGTGCACGTCACTCCCTCTCTTATATGTTGCCAGTACACGTCACTCCCTCTCTTATATGTTGCCAGTGCACGTCACTCCCTCTCTTATATGTTGCCAGTGCACGTCACTCCCTCTCTTATATGTTGCCAGTACACGTCACTCCCTCTCTTATATGTTGCCAGTGCACGTCACTCCCTGTCTTATATGTTGCCAGTACACGTCACTCCCTCTCTTATATGTTGCCAGTGCACGCTACTCCTTCTTTTGAGCACGTGATTTTTTCCATTTCATGTAAAATTGTTCTCTTTTTCCTAGTTTAAATCATTGTAAAATTCTATTTTTTAAATTTATTCAGCTTTCTCTTCTTCCCGACTTCAAATAAATCTTTGATTTATTCATCATCTCAAGAATTAATCCACATTGTTGTTCGTAATTTATCTACCAAGCTCAAAAGCAACGTATTTGAACTCTGCCCACCTAACTAACATCGAGTTTCTGGCTTGGAAACGCACAGAACCAATTTTTTTATGACAATAAATCTTTATAAGACCATTTCCCTGTTTTTTCATTCATTTCACGACGTCTGACTTGCTTTTTAAATCCAATACGCAACTGATAAAGCCTGACTAAACCTTCATACCTTTGTGTATGAAGACCATCATACCTTCATGTGTAGGTATGAACACGTTAATTTCTACACCTAAGCATTGTATGTAGGTACACGTGTTATGTGAGGTATGTACAAGTTTATTTATACTCCCGTATTGTATATATATGTATCATGTGAAGTTATGTACAAGTTTATTTGTACACCCAAGCATTGTATGTACCTACACATATTGTATAAAGGTATGAAGACGTTTATGTGCACACCCTAGTATTGTATGTACACGTATCATGTGAAGGTATGAACAAGTTTATGTGCACGCCCTAGCATTGTATGTACACATATTTCATACACATGTGTGTGTGTGTGTGTGTAGTTAAGCCTGCCTGTATTGAGACGTGTTTTACCCACACAGTCCCCAGAGCGGCAGGAGCAAGAGCAAGGACGACGCCACTGCCTCCAGTCCCGCCAAGGTCAGTTATTAATTCTACTACTCTACTAAAATTCTACTCTAATATTTATTAATTTTATTATGTATTTGTACACACAATTGTAATATAAAGACATATGTCAGCCCCGGCAAGGTGAGTTGCTACTCTAAACACGTTCAACAACGTTGAAAACGCGTTTATCAACGTTGAAAATATGACCTGTAACGTTGAAAACACGCTCAAAATTGTTGAAAATACGTTCAACAAGGTTATTTAAAGTTTAGATGCTTGGTGGCAAGCTTATTTTCCTGAAATCGTAAGAAGCACCAGGACAGAAACAGTTCGTAGCGTGTCGAATTTACGAGAAAAACTCCTTTTTCTGAGTAATATAATGAATATGTTAATGGCGCCATACTGATCTTTGAGACGAATATATTTGTGGAGCAATATAAACAGAGTTGACGATTCATCATGATCTAATTTATGTTCATTTATCATGATCTATTGGTTGATGATTTATAATAGCCTAATCATTGATTATTCATCATAGTCTAATTGCTGATTAATCAGCATCGTCTAATTGTTTATTATTCATCATAGCCTAATCGATTATTATTCATCATGGTGTAATAGCTGACACATCATATACTAATATCGTATTATTAATCATATCTAATAGGTGATTATTATTCATATAGTCTAATATCATATTATTCATCATAGTCTAATAGCATATTACCCTTCATAGTCTTATAGCATATTATCCTTCATAGTCTAATAGCATATTATTCATATAGTCTAATATCATATTACCCATGACGGTGGCCCAGAAAGCCCCAGCAGGCAGCAGCAGCAGCAAGAGCAGCAGCACTGGGACCAGCAAGACTGAAGCAGAGCTGCAGGAGGAGGAAGAGCTGCAGCTCGCGCTAGCTCTGTCCCGCTCTGACGCTGAGAACAAGATCAACGAGGTTAATTACTTAATATTAATTCACATTAATTCATTCATTGTCCTAAAACTTGGTTTATTATTGTTGCCAAAACTGGAATGTTTAATGTAGAATTAATGTTAAGGCAGCTCGCACTGTCGCTCTTACGCTGAGAACAAGATCAACGAGGTTAATTACTCACTATTAATTCCATCATTATAGTAAAACTTGGTTGAAGAAGTATTTTTGTTGCTAAAATAGGAAAGTTAAATGTAGAATTGCTGCTAAGGCAGCTCGCACTGTCCCGCTCTGAAGCTAAGAAAAAGATCAAGAATGTCAGTTAATTGCATGGAAAATTTGCAAACACTTGATATTTATGGTAATGTCTGACTCTTGTGTTTATGGTAACGTCTGACTCTTGTATTTATGGTAATGTCCAACTCTTGTGTTTATGGTAACGCATAACTCTTGTATTTATGATAGCATCTAACTCTTTTATTTTACTTGCAGAAATTACGGCACACTTCCACCATGCTGGGGGGAGGGGGATGGCGTAACGGTGGGGGGGTGTCTGCTCCCCCACACTCCCCTTCTCCCCCACCCGCCGCCGCCCCCCCACCGAGCACCCAGGGGGAGACGGATGAGCTTGCCAAGTCAGGGGCTGGGGGATTTAGGGATGGCAATTCAGATGAAGCAATTCTTAATTCAATATATAATTGTTGAGCATCTAATTGAATTTTGAAGTTAATGAGTATTATCTTTATTTTGTTGCATTGGACGTTTTTACATTGTTAACGATAATTATAAATAAATTATTATTTAATTTCTTCTAGCTCAAAAATATGATTTTTTGCAGTTGATCGTTAGTATTCTTTTTATTTTGTTGCATTCGACGTTTTTACATTGTCAATGATAATTATAAATAAATTATTATTCAATTTTCTCTGGATCAAAAAATGATTTATAAATTAAATAAAATGAATAAAATATGATTTATTTTCCTAGTTAAAAAATATGATTTCTAATAATTTCTGTTCTGGTGTTCCAGTTAAGACAAGAAGGAACAATGCACAGGTCAATTGACACTTTCCTTCACTCAATTACTTCATTGTTCTGACAAATATTTTAGTTTCTTTTTAATTTTTTCTTTTATTAATAACTAATCCTATTCTCTATTTATTCATTTGCATAGGCAGCAATTTTTTATAGTTTTGATTGAAAAATGAGGGATCTGATTTATTTCCAGGTACCTAAACCGTTCACACTGGGAACAGCGTAAGCAACAGAACAACAGCAGCAACAAGAACAACAGCAACAAGAGCCGCTACTCAGCTGCTGACGAAGGCTCCACCGAGGACGTGGCTGCTGAGGGCGGGGCAATTAAAGAGCTCGCCTCCCCCACCTCACCCCCCGGCAAGAGGGAAGAGGTGGGCGTGTGATCAATAATGAACATAATAATGTTCATTATTAAACATTAACTTACTGTGATCAATAATGTATTAAAGATTAAATTACTGTGATCAATAATGTATTAAACATTAACTTACTGTGATCAATAATGTATTAAAGATTAAATTACTGTGATCAATAATGTATTAAACATTAAATTACTGTGATCAATAATGTATTTCACTCGGCAAGAGGGAAGAGGTGGGCGTGAGTTGTTCATACAGCTCGTCTCAATGTTATAGTGATAATCATGATGGATAATCATGCTTGATAATCGTGATTGATAATTATGACGGATAATCGTGATTCATAATTTGATTGATAATCATGATTGATGATAATCATTGATTGTTATTGCCTATCTTCATATTAGGAACGCTTACGTTACAGGCTCTGCATTACTTTTATGTTGATTGTTATTGTTTATCTTTATATTAGGAACGCTTACGTTACAGGCTCTGCATTATATTACGTTGATTATTATTGCCTGTCTTTATATTACGAACGCTTACGTTACAGGCACTGCAGACGAGCAACGAGGACGACATGAACGAGTTCGTGTCGACGTTCCGTGCGCAGCTGGACGTGTTCGTGAACCGTATGAAGAGCAACCAGTCGCGCGGCCGCCCCATCGCCCACGACACTTCAGTGCAGTCGCTCTTCATGAACCTCACCACCATGCATGAGCAGCTGCAGCAACACCTGCAGCAGCAGGAGGCTAAGCGAGGTTTGCATTTGTCACTAGCACTCTAGGAACCCAACAGATTAGCGCCCATCCTGCACCTGCAGGAGGCTAAGTGAGGTATTCTTGGTCACTAGCACTCTAGGAACCCAACAGATTAGCGCCCATCCTGCACCTGCAGGAGGCTAAGTGAGGTATTCTTGGTCACTAGCGCTCTAGGATCCCTTTAGATATAGCGCTCATCCTGCACCTGCAGGAGGCTAAGTGAGGTTATCCTTGGTCACTAGCGCTCTAGGAACCCTGCAGATGAAGCATTTACTATCCCGTTCACTGCATCAAACGTAGCCTAGTTTATCTCATTCATCGCTCCAGTTACATCCTTCCTTGACGCTTACACTTGCTTGATTAAATAATTGAGGTGTTGAGGTCAATTTAGGGATAAGTTGACTCGTTGTATTTTTAAATGATATAAAAAATACTTCAGTAGGTCAGGTTTGTCACTTTGCATTTATGGTTGAGTCTTAAAATTTCATACAAATCACAAAATGAGCAACCACGCAATGTTTGTTGAAACAACATAATGCTGATGAAGTCCTTACAGGCACACCTGCTGACTATCCCAATTAATCGTATGATATAGGCGCGCACCATCACGGATAACTGCAAAATTATTAGTCCTATATGTACCAATCTGTACCAATATGTCCCAAACTTGCATACTCAATATATGCCAATCTGTACCAATATGCCCCAATATGTCCCAATACGCGGGCAGTTTGGTACGAGCAACTGCAGGACAAACTCAATCAAACCCGCGACGCTCGCGCGGCTCTCGAGGCGCTCAGGGAGGACCATAGGGAGAGGAAGAGGAGGGAGAGGGAAGAGCAGCAGCGTGTGAGGTGAGAGGGAGGAGCAGCAGCGTGTGAGGTGAGAGGGAGGAGGGAGAGGGAGGAGCAGCAGCGTGTGAGGTGAGAGGGAGGAGGGAGAGGGAGGAGCAGCAGCGTGTGAGGTTAGTCATGCCCCATCACATTTATGTTAAGTTCAATTATAAAAAAATAATCCTAATACTTTTCCAAATTGATCGCTGCCGTGGCGCATGCAAAGATAGATGACGAAGATATTTTACGTTTGATTCCCAAGTGAATGAATCCTATTTTGTGAGTTACTTGCAACCGCTGGTAAAGGCCCTTTTCCACTACGGGACTGATTCTGAACTATTGAAACTGGCCTGAGACCAATAAGCCTCGTGGCTAGGCCTCAAAACTGGCGTGCGCGTTTCCACTACGCTCATGTGCTGGGATCGAGACTGAGTTCCATCTGGGCTACCGCTCTGCCTCGCTATGCATTTCAGTGCGTATATTGGAGCGACAGCAACACACAACCTTCTTGGACGGAAGTCACATGCAGTGACACTCCCGCATGCATGCGCGGCTCAATCATAGTCAAGATTGAACGGCGCTTGACTCCCCGTCGCGCCAGTCCCGATGGTCCGGACTGCCTCAGTCTGGACTGAAAAAGCCAGTTTTCCAGGCGTCAGTCGCGCAGAGTCTCACAGTGGAAACGGGCCGTAATGCAGAATCTATCTGAATTACCCCACGAATTTAAATAATTTGTGTTAGAGCAAAACGTTATGCGGCATAAAATATGGCAGAAGAAGATGAATTTCTTGATACTATAAATGTTGATATTTGCAGGCAGATCCAAATGATGCAGAAGCTGGAAGTGATGCGCAAGAAGAAGCAGGAATATCTGGAGTATCAACGCCAGCTGGCTGTGCATCGCATGGCGCAGACTGAACGCCAGCTCATGCATCAGCCACCGCCAGCCATACTGCCGGGTCAGCCACTCCCGCCAGCCATGGCTGCTCAGCCACCTCAGCCAGGTCTGACCACTCTATGATATTGTCATGTTTCCAATTAATTGAAATAGATTCCTAAATTCATTATTTTATATTATAATGGATATTTGAAGAGTTCACAAAAACTGTGCTCATGTTAATGCGATCGCTCTTATTTCAATTTGGTTTCATTTGATTTCCTACGTGTTTAATTATATAGTATACCTACCCTGATTGCTCAATAATGCAAGTATGTCAAGTTATACAACTGTTAACTTATAACAAGTCTTCTCTGCTATTAGATAATGAATTTTCATGTTAGAAACATTATTATTCACTCAAACTTGGTATAAATATGCACGCTATACAAACATCTTAAATATTCACGTTTGTAATTCATGAATTTTTTATAACAACAGGTCAGCCATTCTACAGCCAGCCGATGGCTGGGCCGCCTCACATGGCTGAGCCCCACATGGCTAGACCTCACATGGCTGAGCCCCACATGACGGGACCTCACATGGCTGCGGCCCCGCACATGGCTGGTGAGTTAATATGGACGGCGGTGATGAGCTCCTAGACACTTTATTTATAGACGCTTGATTTATAGGCTCTTTATTTATAGGCGTCTAATTTATAGGCTCTGTATTTGTAGACCCTATATTATAGACCTTTTATTTATAGACACTTTATTTATAGACCTTTTATTCATAGACCCTTTGTTTATTGTGTGATTTATTTATTCCCCCCTTTATTTATTTCATTTGTAAATCCTTCTTCCATGATGAGCTAGAAAGTGCTGAGCAGGAAGATGATAAAATTGCTTCTTCCTTTGCTCAATTTTCATGAATTTGTTTGTTGCTTTCTTTAACTTAGCAGACTATTTATAATCACTTTTTATAACGTAGCAGTCTATTTTATATTCTCGTTTAAAGTGTTCATTTGTCGACTTGCAAGAGATTTCTACCCGTACACACTTCACTCATCTTTTTGGACACATGCCCCATGTTGCCCACACGTCTCATGTTACTCACATGCTCGCATGTTGCAGGAGGTGTCACATATCCGAGCAACATGCCTGGCAACCCCTACATGCCCTACATGACTGCACATGGTCCTGGTGAGTTCATGTAGGTTATGTATACTCATCATACATTTTCATCATAGGCTACAGCTGTTGATGCTATTGCTGACTAAGCGCTTCTCACTCACTGCTAGGTGAGTTTTCAATTTTCCTAAGCATCTTTTCGACATATTCAGCTAAATCTTACTTCTATAAAATTTTATTTGTGCTTTTAGAAAAATGCCTCTTGTTTTTATTGCGTTTTTGATGAATTTTTTTTATGTATCTTAATGTTCCTATATATGCTACCTCTCATCCATTACCTTCTATATGTTAAATCATTTCATGAAGTTTCAGTTCATTGTCGGAATTTTCAAGTTATGATTTATTTATTTTTTTAATATATATTTTTTGCAACCTTTCACGGATTTTTGGAGTATGAAATTATTTGCGTCTCACAAGTCAAGCCTGCTTATAAATACGAAATCGATCCAAATTTGTGTTGCTTGACGTTTATAGCAGTTGATGTTGGAACACAACTCCTTGCGCAATTTTATTAAGTACATTTAAGCTCACAAATGCCGTAACTGCCATGGACTTCTCGTAAATTTTTCTCTGTGTATTATAATGGTTGTCATAGATTATGCTCCAAAATTCATTCTGAAACTTTCTTTAGATTCATTTCAAAGATCCATATGTATGTATATACCCTATATTCTTTGCATGACTGATTCTTAGCACCTCGTGCTTGTTTCCCATACATAATTTTTAAAATAGATTTATTTTTGTTTACTTCGCGTTGATTATTATATTTTTATCATTGTGCTGTTCACGTATTTATTTAAATTTTCATCTGTAATCTCACTTTCTTAATTTCTTGCGTCACGAGTCTTGAGCTGCTCTCCGGGTTCACGAGTGTATAATATCACACGTTATTTCTTTTATGTCAGTCTCGTTTCCTAGCTTGCAATTTTGCTGTCTGCCTGCATTATTTAAGGTTAATGTACCTCGCTGCTCACGTGTTTTTTATTCCACCATTTTAATCTTATCTTCTTTACATTCAGTATATTTCGCAGGTGCTAATGGCGGACAGCCGACGCCTGTGGGCTACCCTCATCAGCCAGGCCAACAGCCACTTCAGCCAGGCCAGCAGCCACTCCAGCCTGGTCAACAGCCATTTCAGCCAGGCCAACAGCCACTCCAGCCTGGCCAGCAGCCACTCCAGCCTGGCCAGCAGCCACTCCAGCCTGGCCCTCAGCCGCTTCAGCCTGGCCAGCAGCCACTCCAGCCAGGCCAACAGCCTCTCCAGCCTGGCCCACAACCTTTTCAGCCTGGTCCACAGCCTTTTCAGCCAAGTCACCTGCCACCTCAGCCACTTCAGCCACTGCCAGAAGAGCAACAGCAGCAGGCTGAACTGATATCGTTCGACTAATTAGACATATATTAGTTCTACTGTCACAACTAACTGAAAAAGGTCTTAACGTAGCGTCATGTTTACAGACATGAATGACTTAGTTGAATACAAAGTCTTCACCTAACATTATGTTTACCAACATGTACGAGTATACGCATGTTGTATATGTAGTGTAGACTTATCGTGTCTACAAACGTGTCTACTTGTCACGCTTGTCATAACGCTTTTATCAGCGATAGCTTCTTGTGGTAGTGAACGATTCATTATATTCCAAGTAGAGTTTATATGTTCCGCCTTTTTTGTAAAGAATTTATGAAAACTCCTCGCTTGCTTCCTCCTGGGAATTTATGCTCGGGGCTTGGAAAGAAACCTAATCAACCAAGGAGTCTACGATTTTTAAGGTGTTGAAATTAATGAAATATTTCGTAACTTATTCGGCCGCTCCAAATGAATATGATAAAAGTCAGCAAATCTGTTCCATAGAATTGAATTATTTGTTGTGTAATTTGTCATACGTGACAACCGCACTTTTATTTTTAGCTGCACTTCTATCACTACCGGACTTATTTTTTACCTGGTAAGTTTACTATGTGTACTTTACCTGTTACGGTCACTGTGTTGAGAGTGTAATTACACTATCTCTTATTATTTGTAGCGCCCAATCCTTTCTTTACTTGGATTATCTCTATTACCCTTCCAGTTGCTATATTATCTTGGTTATATACATGTATTATCTTTCCTATGCGTGGATCATATCTTTATCTCCTGTTATCTTCCGCTAGATGCTCGTCATATTCTTGTCTACATCAAAGAATAATTGATATGCAGGCTGCTACAGCGTCGTGTCGGGCATGGGTGCAGTAGCCACTCAAAATGTTAGTCGTACCTTCCGTAATGCAAACATGTTCTCTGTCTATTAATGGTGACATGAGCACGTAAAGGAATGACTATTTTTTTGTGGCTATGCAATTTCTCAATGCTAACTCGTAAGAAAAAAATCACTTTATTCATCAAATTTTAAATGCAAAAAGCGAATTAGAAAAAAAGCTATGCTGGCTATGCATCCTTATGAAGTTGGCTTCAATTATACTTCTGCCATGCCAATCTTTTATTTTTTCCTCCCTATTTTCATTTTGTCATAAGTTATCGTTTTCTGGATTTCGTTTATTCTTCATCTTCATTTCCTCTTTCTTTTGTTCAATTATCTTCGTTACCGTTGCAGCAGACGACTCGAGATGCTAGGACGTCGCTGTGTCCTCAGCGGCTGTAAATTTATTATACCCGTAAAACAAAATATAAAACTTGTCCATAACCGAGGCAGGACATCTTCTAGCGTCATGCCATGCTAGTTAAAATATTCTATTTTGTACGCCACGTGTATCCCTAGGCTAGGTCTATCTATTAGATTGGCTAGGTCTAGCGTTGCGGTTTTAGTTTGTGCGTTTGCAATGTATCCTGTCATTAACTGTACTCGCGTCGGTGGCAATGTATATGCCTTCATGCATATTCGCATTTATATTCTGACGTTAGCTTACCCAGAATACTAGGAGATTTTTTTTCTGTCTATAATTTATATCCTGGTGTTTCCTTGTGCAAAATTTCAGGGTATTTTCCTATCATTATTACCAGCTAATCATTATTAATTTTTTTGTGATACAAACTTGCAATGAGGAATGTGTGGTGCGAGACATGGAACTTCGTCCCGAGCAATACGTAGACTGCATCGATTAGTTCCTTCACTTACAGCCCATTGTTTTAACGTTTTTACAGGCATAAGTGCTTGTTGCTTCATATCTGTTTGTCAACTATACAAATTATAACCATTTACAGGATATATTTATTAAACCCTTCGACGTGAATGAAATCGAATTAATTTTTGCGTGGCACCTGAAAAGGTACTTACACAAAGCAGGCCATGGAAAAGTTTATGAGTTACAATTGAGGTATAAACGCCCTTGTTGAACTAGATTATTCGCCATTCAACAATAATTCGTGTTAAACTTTGCCTCGAAACTACAAAGATGTGCTAAATTCTTTCTTATTTATGAATAGCAAGGCATACACACAGCTCAACACAATGAACTCCTCATAGATGTATGGAGCAACATAAACGGAAAAATTACCAAAACGGTTCCTTATGTTTTCATGAAACGCATTCTGTACGCAATAATCAGCTCAATTACTGTCATAAACCGCGTAAATCAGGAATTAAAATATTCAGACACGAATTTAACTTCTTTATTCTCGACTATTGTTTCGATCTAAAATATAAAAGCTTAAACATCAACTGTGATAGTTTCATCTTCCTGAACACCTTTTATTTAACCTAAACCTAAACGTTTCCTTAGGGAACGCGTTCCTCCTTCACCACTCGAATTATTAGCAGCTCTGTTAGGAATAACATTTTAACTGCTATGAACAACACAAAAGCTGTCTCATAGTATCAACATGACAACATCCAGCAATGCAAGATGAAATTCTTCAAATTAATTCTAGTTGCAACTATAAATAGACAGGCTGTCTGGTTAAATAATTCTTCATTAGCCAACAACTTGACAAATAATTGTGAAAGAAGACTCCACATTTAATGTCGACAGCAAGAATTTTTTGCACAATCACATAAAATCTCGGCAAATCTTCAAGAATTTCGTCCTAGATGTGTCTCAATTCACTATCTATATACATGCTTCTCAATTTGTGTCGGTGCTTGCCTTCACTAAAAATTTGTGCATTCATTAAAACAGGTTGCATGGATACCATCGCATATTATTTGCTACGCTGCCTCGCCTGTAGCGAGTTGGATGAGCCAAAAATAAACATTGTTTTGGTCACTGATCCTTATACTGTACAACCTCTCTATTCCTATCAACACGGGGCATTTCAATTCCTACAATTACATTTAAAAATTCTGTACGATTATTTTCAGAGACTTATATTGCACCAGTGCAATGTACTAATTGCTACATAATTTCACACCCACTTATTCTCCCATTCACTTATTCTCTTGGTAAAACTAAAGGCAAATGCTATTTCACAGATATATATGCTATAGTGGCATGAATGTGGAATTTAAATATAAATCAGCATATTCATTATTCATTTTATAATACATTATCTATAGACTATAATAGATTTTTTAGATGTTGTAAGAGAGCCAAAGTTAACTGATGATTACTTGCAGTTCCAGAATATATTTGAAGAAAAATGGTAGATTCATGCATGTTGTTCACAACCGTTTGTAGCTGCACCTAGAAATTTGAGTGCATTTATATAGATACTTGATGCTGTTATTTTAAAGTATGACCGATTGCAAGACATGATAATTTTTGGACATTTTTGAAAAATTTTTACATCCAAGCACCAACTGCAATTTATTATTTTATCATTCATAATATATGTATAGATACGGTAACAATAGTCAAAATAATCAACATTCGATGAAATTAACCAAAAAAAATGTGAGAGGAAACAATTAATTTTTAAATATTTTATTAACATGAAGCAACAACATGAATTTTGGTGCATGAGCTACAGCATATGTTTATGGGCTCTTGTTCTAATTCAAGAGTGTGATGAGTGATACTATGTATGGTATGACAGGCATATTATAGGCAGATGTATCACAATACCATCGCCTTAATCTCGTGATCTCACACTTGGGGGCCATGGGAGTCTTGAGCCTTTTTGGGTAATGGTTTTCTGGGTTGTTGCTTATGAAAACTTGCCAACCATAGAGTGAAACTATGAGTGGAATGCTGATCTTAAAGGAGATTTTGGAGAAGGGCAAAGGTAAGAAAATTCTGGTGATTGAGAATTACTGCTGGGAGAAGATGATGATGGAGTTTCAACTTCAGGAACAAAAGCAGCATCAAAAGAAAATTTTGATGAACCTGCAGATGAGAATGCTTGTTCATCACCTCTCACACATGACATGCCATCATGATTTTCAAAACATTTACTACACATTTGCACAGACTTTTCACTTGCACAACATTTATCACTTGTCTCACTTGCTTCAAGAGAATTTTTGTTATCTTTAAAATTATCACTGTTAGGTAGAGGATTTTCCATCAAAGAAGATTTTCCATGACAGTTTTGACCCCCCATGGCGTCCAACAAAACCTCTTGATCAACTCTTTCCTCACTTGTGCTTTCAGAATTGATCTGTGGGCCATCATGAATTCTCACATGATTAGTCTGAACTCTAATGGGCAAAACAACAATTATAGCTAAGGAGCAATTATCACACATAACAGCTACTTCACTGTCAATCAAACTCAGCAGCTCTTCTTCAGTGATGCTGTAGCGACCACCACAGCGACACACATGGCTGTAGTTGGTAGTCTCTTCATCACAACTATAGTGCAGATCCTCTAGAAATAACTCTTCTGATATTGGGTACTGCTGATATAACTGCAAAAATATTGGTATTGCATTAGTCATTCACTTCAAGCAAAATTACAGGATTATGTGAAAGGAATTTGTTTTTATATAAAATACAACATTCAATGCTCTGGTTAAAAATTGTTTATACATACTAAATGGAAACAAATTCAATGTTATTAAATATTTCAACAATTTAGATGTGAATACCATGAAATCTCATACAAGCCTCTACATAAATTTGCAGTCTCCTTAATTCCATTCATCAAACACAAAGTATTGAGATTTCAACTCATCAGGTAACTACAAATCTTCATCTCTAATAAATAATGCTCCTAAATTGACTTCTCTAATAAATCCTTTTTAGCTACTTTGACTTTAGCTATAATTTATCAGGTTAAACTCAATGATAATTTAGATAATTGCACATGGAATGAATATGGCACACTAACCAGATCTCTTTTAAGCTGCAAATCATACTCAGCCCTCTGATGAGGATCAGCAAGCACTGTCCAAGCCTCCTGTAGTTGTGTAAACTTTTTGTGATCTCCTGCTGGTTTGTCAGGATGCAGCTTCAGCGCCAAGAGCTGGTACTGCTTACGCACCTCCATTTCTGTGGCCTCAGGTGCCACTTCCAAAACATCATAGTGACTCAGCATTTTAAACAATAATCCCTTTCACTTCAGAGAGAAAGTAACATTTTTTCATACTAGATTCATGCTTGTACCTTCCACTTTTACCTGTGTTGAAGAAAAAATGGTTATTATTATGTTAATACAAAATTCATCTAATAACTTATAATTCAAAATTTGGTAATTGCAATGCACATAACTAGTAATATGGGTATAGTTTAGTGGACTCGTTTTTTTTTTCATGAAAGTTCAATTGATAACCAGCAAATCCATTTTATTAACAAGTTTTTTTTGGTTTTCAGTTAAACAAAACAGAATGTTGTTAATAAAATGAATTCTTTCTTGCACAAAAGAATAACTGGTTGTCACATCAGTTCTCTATTTCTCCTAATTTCATAGTCATTTCATCCATTACCATAATATCATTGCAGCTAATGTCATAAATGAAAATTTGGGAACAAATTTATGTTAAGTCATATATACTGCACTGATAGGCTTCAGGATCACTGCCAATTTGTTATATTATCCAGAAGTTTCTTAAAATTGCAGGTAAAAATGATTGTTTCATGGGCATTTTCTGAAAATCATGGAAAAAGGCCATTTTTCTAATTTTTCATAAAAGAAATTAAAAAAGGCCATAAGAATGGACAAATTGGCTAGATTCACAGGCGTTTTCCCCAATTTACAAGCGGCTTGTGCCAAATTTTCCACTTGGGCCTAACATCAAGTCATTAACAGACTAAGTAAAAGGTAAGATGTCCCTTGACGGGGTTTGTCTGTAATGGTAAATTGATGAACAAGAAAGAAAGTCTAGTTGTTTCTAGTTTCATATTCATTTCATCTATTACCATACTATCATTATAGCTCATGTCATAAACGCAAAATTTAATAGAGAATTTAAAGAATCATGATCCCATGCACATCATTTTTTTCCATGATAAAAAATTGGGGAAAAGGCTATAGGAACATGTCAAATTAGCCAGATTCACAGGCATTTTTGTCCAATTCAATAATTGAATTCATGGGTGGCTTCTGCCTAATTTTACAATTAGGAATCAGTGGTCTAAATCTGTTGGTTTGAAAGCATACATTATCCAATAACCTTAAATTTCAGAAAAAAAAATTGAAATTATTGACAGTGATGAACCAAGTCTTGTATTTTATCTATTATTCTATAGAAAACCTTGCTAATGTTATAATTCTTAGTGAAGCTTATGTTCATGTAACAATATTACTATTTTTTGAGTAATTTTGTATTAATTTTTTTACCATTTCCATACATATTTTATTTTGAAGCATATGTAAAAACAAATTTGAATTATTAGGCAGAATTCTTCAAAAAAGGTTAAAAGAAATGATCATTACACAGGCTAATTAAAAAAATTACATGCAAAAATTTATTATTTTATATACATTTTACAGAAGTATTTAGGCAAAGGCCACCCATAGCCATTAGCAATAGGAGCAGGTAAAATCATCTATAAAGCATGGGTTCTTCTGTCTCATTTGTGATTTCATTATAATTTTCAGAATTCAGCCTTCTGCTGTTTTTTCTGTATTGCTCAAAACAAGTAACAAGTGCATAAGGGATCATAGTTATTTGAATTATCTACCCATAGTCCCACTGACCCACTCCCATTTTCCCAAACAACTAGAATTTCTTTCATGTTTATCAATGGATGAACCATATCAAGGGGCATCTTACCATTTACTTAGGTGTCTTAGTCTGTTAATGTAAGGTTCCAAATCCAATGAGGGGAATGAATGATAGATAGATGGGATCATAGGAGCTAAGAAAAGAAAAAGAATTTAACATTTTGATCCTGAAATTCCATCCCAAAGAATAAAGAATTTGATCCATCCTAAAGAATAAACTATGAAGCCTAATGAAGGAAATCTCGAAAATTATTCTAAAGAAAACATATCCCATTTCAAAATATGTTATAGTATTTACAAATATTTTACCAACTATGTCAGTTACCATAGTTCACAAGGAAAATTACAAATTTACCAAAAAATATGTTGCTTTACACTCTGAGACTGATACCTGGTAAAGTGGTAATTGCACAATAAATAAAAAATTTTCAAATCTTTATACTACTGAGGATTCCTGCTAACTGTCAAGTGCAGCATAGTTAGTGTTGACTCAGGTGGTTATTGATCCATTATCTGAATATTGGCTCAAGTCTTGACAAACCTCACTTTGATTTTGTTTAGGTAAACACTAAACTGTAAGTGAAGTGTAAAGTAAAGTAACGTAGATATATAAAGAAAAATACAACTTTCCTTTTGCCTTCATACACTGTTCTTATTGCACTCATTATATAATAACTCTATATATTTATATTAACTTTCCTTAAATGAAGTTATGCCTTCCATGAGCCAAACGCCATACCCAACGATTTGAGGGTCCAAATGAAAACAAAGGATCTCTCAATTCGTCGAAGCCTTTGTTGATTATTTTGAAGTTTATTCCGGTAGAGCGGAAAATCTGCAATAATCATGAGTTATGAAAAATACAATTATATTCCTTAAATTTGCATATATACAAATTACCAGCAATTTTATGCCTCATTGTTTGATTAGTTTTATCAGTGCTGATAAATAATCACCTTTTGGTAAATAGAGGCGTGTGTTACATTTCATAGTTATTTTAAACATAGGCTTACCTAAGAATAGATAGGCCTGGTAAGTAGAATTCTCCATAAATTATACCCTGAATTATATCAGAAGGTAGTTGTGACCTAATTTATAGGGTGGCAGTTGGCAACCTTTTAAATTGCGGACAGCGCGACAGGCAACGTAAAGTAAACGGAACAGTAGCAACCGAGCGGGCATGAGAGTAGGGTTGTAGTGTTTTTGTGTAATGAACTGTCTGGAATTGTTTCCACAACTGTGCTCTGTGGTTGATCCATCAAACGCTGTTATACTTGTTTCTTTTCCATTTAAATTTACGTCTTAATTAACCGTAGTATTGGCTCAAATGTCAACGTTACCGAAGTCTATTTTAATAGGCTATCATTCCCGTCTTGGCTCTGGTGTGTGGTGTCTTTTCTTTAGTTTACTGTTTCATCAAAAATGTCATGCCCAGCAGCCCATGCTGAGCGTGTTCATCAAGTGACAGCACGATTTTTTTTGTAGCAAATGGTCTTGTAGGAATAAGGAACATATGAGTTGCCACCCACTGAGGCTGTGGCTGACTGGCTGAGCAGTGACCAGTGTGCAGTCATTGCACTTTACTCAATGGTGTCTGGTCATCTATAAAAATGGTAAAAGACATATACCTAATTGTATCTGATAACCATACTTCACTACTGCAGTTAATAACTTTTTAGGTTCATTTACCATGTATGATAAGTAAGGAAAAGTATGGATTTTTCCACACTTACATATACAAGCAGCATAAATTAGCATATGATGGTTTAGACCGTTTAGTTTAGGTAGAACATAGTTTATGTTTGTAAAATATTCTTCTTCCTTTTTTTTGTCAATCAGGAATATTGGTCAAAATTTAATAAAAATCAAGAATGAAAATAATTGCTTCATGAGTTATTTTAAAAAATTGATGGATAAAACTGTGCTGTTTTTTCTATAATTTTCAAAAAGTAATTAGGCTAAATATTGTAGGTACTTAGAAATTATAGAAAATTAAAATTTTTCATTCATATTAAAACATGCTTATGAATGTATTTTAGACAACTTATAACTTTATTTTTAATGGGAGTTCAATGAGAATTCTATGTTTTATCTAAAGTGCGAATTATATAGCATGTAAATTTCATCTGGTATATTTTTAGCTAACATGCAGTACATTTTACTTACTTATATTTCTTAATGGCTTATTGTTGAACTGAGCTAAGAATAATTTACCCATTGTAAAGAATGTATTAGTTTTACTCCTTAGACTACAGGTACATGATCTTATGTTGGTAATATTGTCATATTCATATTGTATGCCCGATGCACTTCAATTCTGTGCCTCAATAATGCTGCCAGTTGCCTATTTCATTGTAAAATTGGCTAGACAATTCACAATGCCTTGCTTCTCTTGTATTGTTTGCCTTCTCATGGGCATGACAAGGATTATATTTCCTTGACTGCCTTATGCCTGTTTATGGTGAATTTAATTAATTACCTATTGATGAATTTAATTCTTCATTCTCATGATTGTTTATTACTGCCATAGAAGATACTTATCGTTGAATGCATCATAGTGTTTTGGCTTTAAGTACCCAACCTTATTTCTCATATCTCAAGTGAAGCCAATGTGTCACTTCATCTAATTAAATCTAGAAAAATATGGGGATGCAAATTTTCTGTTCAATGATTCAGTCACCATATATTTTGTGAGCTCTTGATTACATAATAGGGCTATCAATAAATTACTTGATTGCCTTACAATAAATATTTCACCTCATGATGATTAGAGTAATAAAGGAAAAATCTCAACAAGATCAGCATTTGAAATGCATTTTAATGATTTTCATTTGGTGTCGCTGTTTCTGTCTTCTCTGGACACCACCAAATTATAGTTTGCAATCATGAGAACAAAATAAAGGTATTGTGAGGGCATATACACTCGTATATTGTACGCTGATGTGAGGGTATATGCACTCGTATACCATATGCTGATGTGAGGGTATATACACTCATATATCATACGCTGATGTGAGGGCATATACACTCATACATCGTACGCCGATGTGAGGGTATATACACTCGTATATCGTGCGCTGATGTGAGGGTATATACACTCGTATACCATATGCTGATGTGAGGGTATATACACTCATATATTGTACGCTGATGTGAGGGTATATACACTCGTATATCGTACGCCGATGTGAGGGTATATACACTCGTATATCGTGCGCCGATGTGAGGGTATATACACTCGTATATCGTACGCCGATGTGAGGGTATATACACTCGTATATCGTGCGCCGATGTGAGGGCATATACACTCGTATACCATGCGCCGATGTGAGGGTATATACACTCGTATACCATGCGCCGATGTGAGGGTATATACACTCGTATATCGTACGCCGATGTGAGGGTATATACACTCGTATACCATGCGCCGGTGTGAGGGTATATACACTCGTATATCATGCGCCGGTGTGAGGGTATATACACTCGTATATCATGCGCCGAAAGAGAAGATACGTGAGCGTTAACGTGCGTGTTGGTAGCAGGTAGCTGGCGTTCAAGAGAAGATACGTGAGCGTTAACGTGCGTGTTGGTAGCAGGTAGCTGGCGTTCAAGAGAAGATACGTGAGCGTTAACGCGCGTGTCGGTAGCTGACGTTCAGGAGAAGATACGTGAGCTCAATATTGCCAAGTGCAAGAACGAAATGATAGCAAAAGTCCTCTATATTTCTGATTCGGATTTTCAGTCTGACACTTAGTTTAAATAATCACGCAATCTATCGGTTTAATTATAAATCTTCTTTAATATTATTTAGTAATAATAGCGATACTGACCATTTTTATTTTAACTTATGAAACATACTTATCCTAATTTGCGTAAATTCAAAATTCTGATCATAGCAGTCCGTGGTGTGCGTCTCGGATGCTGTACCATTACCCTGTATCGTACCGTGCTCTAGCATCACCATATAGTATATACCATATATATTCTACTCGTATGATGATCGTCATCACATCGACAGGTCTCCATTGTGGTGCGTGACGTGGCAGAGATGTCATTGTTGCCGTCCTTCCTGCCATTGTTAGGACTTGGTCCGTGACGCGGCTAAAGCAGGGCGCTGAGTTAAGATTCTCTTGGAAGTACGAGGTGTTTTATCATGAATTATGTCATCTGATGATTAAGAGTAATACTACTAAAGTGAAAGATGTAGATAATAGAAAATTATGCATGTGGGAACTATAATGGAGAAGAAATATATTTTTTCAAATCCTCGACTGGCTCTGCAATACGATCTCGCGAATATTTTAAGGGTTCATTGTCATTATAGGCTCGCTAAATTTCAAACTGATTTCAGCGTAAAGATCTTGCCGGCTGTCGGCTTAAAGCTCGAGTTAATTGTAACGGAAGCTTAAGAATTTAATTTTGGTTGGGTAATGAAATGTTTTCAGCAGTATTTATATGCAATTTAAGGTTCATATTCATAGCTAGCTTCATTTCATGTTCGTCTTACGAACATGAAATGAAAATTCAACTTTCTTACTCTCTATTCTTGTTATTCTATGTTGCAAAAAAGTACGCGTGAATTTGCACTATTAACGCGGATTCGAACTCGATGATTCTATTGTTCTCAGGTCAACATGATTAATTGGTGACCGTGCTTGTAAATATTATTGTCTTTTTTTTTCAGCTGCAACAACAGCAGTAATTGATAATTTCAGTACTGAATTACAATTTCATGGTAATTAAGTTCGACAAATTTGTTTGATCTATTTAGATGTGCGCTGGTGCTTCAATAGATTCTTAAAATTTAAATGTTGAAGATAGTCCAGCGATGATGAACAAGGGTACCGTCAGTGGCTACGTGCGATAAAGTTAAGTATTTCGTTTAAGAAATTTACGTTAAATACGTGAAATTGGCGAACTCTGGTCCATGACAACGAGCTACCTAAGCACCCTGAAAATGTAAATAATTTACTTAAGTCAATCATTGATGTTCTCAGCGAGAGTGCTATCATAACAGACGTTTTGTTTTATTTTCGTTTCAGGGACTGTTGATCAAGTCGGAGGAAAGAAGTGACTTCATTTGTATTGATCATGTCATGACCATTAATTATTTTATCTTCCAATTCACGGCTAGAAAACTATCTTAAAATATTCAAGTTGAATGCTGAAAAGTTAGATTTAGTTTCTATTATCGTAGTTAGATAGCCTTATGCCATGTACTGAAATCTCGAGATCTGGCGAGGACGCCACGAGACATAGCAATCACTCAAACGTTTGCTTTGATTTTCTTTACACAATTTGAAAATTATCTACGAATATTGTCTAAATTCTGATTCCAAATTATTGTAAAAAGTCTGGACAAAACACCATCAAAATGCCAACGGTTTCGTCAAAGTTAATTTCGGGCGCCAGCAAGACGCTTGGCTTGTCCGAAAAGAACTTCTCCAGAGGCGCGGTTGCGGCGATATGTGCCGTGTATTTCTACACAACAGTTTATCCTAAAGTGAAGCATCTAGTCTACGCTAAAAGTGCCAAAACACCTGCTGGAAATGTCGCCACATCTTCTAAGAGCGCCACCCACAAAAAAAGCCCTGCAGTTAACAAGGAATTCTTTACTCAACTGCGTCAGTTGATAAAAATCATAATCCCGAGTGCGCTGTCCAAAGAAGCAGGCATATTATACCTGCACACGTTGTCGCTCGTAGCTCGTACGTTCCTCTCGATATACGTTGCGAAACTAGAAGGCCGAGTTGTGAAATACATCGTCCGCAAAGACGTGTCAAAATTCGCGCTCATGATGACGCAGTGGATAACGATAGCCATACCCGCGACATTCATCAATTCCATGATCCGTTTCCTGGAAAGTTGTCTCGCTATGTCCTTCCGCACCCGCCTTGTGAAGTACTCCTACGACCTCTACTTCAAAAACCAGTGCTACTACAGGATATCAAACCTCGACGGCAGGATAGAGAACGCTGATCATTGCTTAACAGACGACATTCAGGCGTTCACTTCGAGCATTGCACATCTCTACTCGCACATCACGAAGCCCATCCTAGACACACTCCTCATCACTGTCTCTCTGGCGCAGCTAGCCAAGCAGCGAAGTGGAGCCATGTTGCCAGGTCAGTTCTCACTTATTCTCTGTAATAAATTATTTTTAGTTTTCATCCTCTATTTTTAGCGCATTTTCTCATTTATGGAAAAAATGCACTATTGTGCTCGCCATGTCCGTCTGTCTGTCTGTCCGTCCGTGACTCCAAGTTTTCGTCGACGAGAAAATACGCTCTCAGTCACTCACTGCAGTGAGTACTGAATTATATTTTGGATTATTTATTAGTATTTTTTACTACTAAATTCCAACCTACCAAGTGGCCACGGCCTTGACCGCCTCGTGCTGCCTGAGTACGGTAACCGCATTATCTGACAAGTACAAGTCAATTGATGGTAAAGTCTTGCTGTACCTGAGGCTAATTGTGACAATATGTTAGGCTATTGCTGCTGGGACAAGTCAATTGATGGGTTAAGTCTTGCTGTACCTGAGGATAATTGTGGCAATATGTTATGCTAATGGTGCTGGGAAAAGTCAATTGATGGATAAAGGCTTGCAGTACCTGAGGTTAATTGTGGCAATATGTTAGGCTATTGGTGCTGGGTTGCGAGGCTAGTCCAATGAGAAGACTTATCTTTCTTATCAGTAATGAGCGATACTGCAACGTGGGCCGGTCATCGGCCTTGAGATGAAGGTACCCACGATCAAAATCTCTCAAGGAAACTTCAAAATATTTCATCTCTTTTCTAATATAAACGCCACTGAAAATAATAACGTCAAGCCTAATACTGAATGTTACGGAATTCGGAATACTTGAAGTAGATACTTACTAATTGTGTTCTATTATCAGTTGCATTTGTTTTGAACACGCATATTAATTTTAAATGGAGGTAGCTGCTTCAAAGATTCTATTAGTTCAGTTTTAAATAGGTTTTGCTTCTTGTCACGTGCATATTCCCACTCTATTGACTGTGAGTCATCTCGATTGAACCATTTACTCTCGATTTCACTGAGCTATTATACTATATTATATTATCTTATCTTTTATACTATAATTATTTATAGTACAATTCAATACATTATAATATAAATTTCTAAGTATCAAGACATGCACTGTTTCTCATGGATGTATATTAATGAGTTTTTGTTGAAATTGGAATTTTGTGCACGAGTGGCGTATTCGAATGTAAGAAATAGTCGATGCGAGACAATTTCTAGCCAAACTAAAATGATTGCTGCTGCGTGAGCGATGACGTCAGAGCTTGTAAATTAGTGCCTAGGATATTCAAGAGCAGCTGTTATTTGCTCAAGTGCCTGGTGCGACGTGCTGTCATGCGGTGCTGCTGTGGGCGAGATTAGGTGGCTGCTGTGGGCGAGATTAGGTGCTGCTGTGGACGAGATTAGGTGCTGCTGTGGACGAGATTAGGTGCTGCTGTGGACGAGATTAGGTGC